AGCAGGAGCACCTTTGCTGTAGAGGCAGCTCCTGACATTGCTAGTGTCTTTACCACTACATTCTTTATAAGTGAAGGGAACATAGTAGCATGTTTGAGAAGACAAGTCAGACAAGCCTCATTAGTGTCAAATGTGCAAAAAAAAGTGCCCCAGCGTAGATGCATGTCTGCTACCTATAAAACCTAGTAGTCATTTCTTGGAAGAGGTTTCAAAACCGTTAGTCACTAAATGAAAATGTTGGTCTTAGTCACTCTGGTCTCTATTTCCTGATCTGCAAAAATAGGGGTATTACACCTTTCTCTGCCTGCCTCCAACTATTTCAGTCCTCAGCTCTGAGGGAAGGCTGGTCTTTTATGGTGTGCAGGTATGGCACCCACTGGGCCTTGTATGTGCTATCACAATACCACCAATATATCACCTTACCCCTCCCCTTGGTGTTTTGAATATTCCTGTCAAGGAGGCGTGACAGAAGCCAACACTAAGAATACAAATTGTCTACGGGAATCTATTAGTCAAGCATCAGACGCTCTCAGCAGGACAGTTAGTCACTAATACGCCTCTTTGTTGGGGGTTCATTATTGCCACAAGCGTTCATCACAATCAATTTTCCTGCCATTAATGTGCCCCTGCCTACACTGCCAGTGCCGCTTTGTAATTAAGCGTAGACTGGAGTTATCGGAGGAGATCTAATAGGGCTTTGCGTTGTTCTTTACGATGCTGAGACACGGGGGTGGGGAGGCAGTGTAGGGAGAGGGGGGCAGAATCTGAAGGGCTCTAGTATTTGAAGCAAAGGTTGTACACACAGGGCCAGATCTTGAGCTGGTCTGAAGCTGTAGGCTGTCATAATGTCTTCATAATGATGGAGAGATGCCTGTGTTCTCGAGTCTGAAGCCATCTTGTTTACAGGATGATAACATATAAAGTACAGGGTTGGGAGCTGGTTCCTGCCAAAGCTGCAACTCTTCCAGATGAGATCAGGCTAATGATGTTACTCTGCACTTGCACTACAAAAGCTGCCTGGATGTAGCCCAAACCCCACTTTTCCCAAGCCAGTGGGGAGTTGGTACTGTACCTGCTCAGGGTAAGGAAGTACATGGGCCTCTGGAGGGCACTTCTCTTTTCTGGTCCCCTGGGCTAGTTCAACTTGTTTCTCCCCACCATGCTTATGAGATTCTTCCCTTGCTGGGAAGATCTGTTCTCTTCTCTCTTCTCTGCTAGATGGGAAAGGAAGGAGATTATTGCAGCCGTGCCTTGATTTCCTAACCGCTAATCAGTGCTAGGCACTGTACATGCAAAAGCAGAGTTTCTCTCCCAGCAACTTACCTCAAAACCAATAAGGCAAAGGGTAGGATGGGAAACCAAGCCATGATGAAGGCAGAAGGAACTTTACCAAGGTCACCTAACAGATTGGTGGTGGAGCCAGTGTTCTTACTACCAATCTAGTGCCTGCCCACCCTCTGTTGGATCGCGTCATCTGTTTGAAGGTTAAAACCACCCTGTCCTGGCAAAAAATTATTTGAAGGCTCATAAACACCCAGATGTTATACGATTTCAAAGAGATCACAAATGTCCTCAGCTCTGGAGTAATTGCACAGCATTGCCTGAGCATGAAGTTTGCTCTGAGAACCCTCAGGAAGCTGGAGTAGCTGGACAGGTTTATAACCATTTGTTACTCTTATTGCCTAGAAGCTGGAGTGGGGACCACTATGCATGCACATGCATGTGCATGCCCAATGGCAAATGGTGAAGCAGAGAATGTTTGTCAGCTCCCACACAAGCAGGAAGGAAATGTGAACAGAGTTGCGGTCCCACTTGCAGCACAGCTCTCTGCCTTGTGTATCAAAGGAGAAGACTCCTGTCATTGGCTGTGTTGCAAGCAACACTGAACTGCCAGGGCTTTGGGAGACATGCAAAGTGCTGGTTCTGTTTATGCCACTGCTGAAGATTGCCTTAAAAGTATCTGCTGTTTGAATGATAGTTCTCCCAGGAGAATTGAGCTGCTAGGGTCTTCTCAGAGAGGGTGCCTGTTTAGCTCTTGAACAGGATCAGTCTAGGTTACTGAGGCCATTCCCCCACTGTTGCTGGCAACCACTTCATGTAACCTTTTTGTAAAACTGATCATATACATACTCCATGTTAAAGCTAGAAGTATTTTTTTGTTTTTCCTTTTACTGACACTGTGGTTAGGGGAATGCTATTCCACAAACTCACAACTCCTGAGGCTTAGCAGATACCATAGCCATCATACATGCTCCATAAAATGTAAGTTTAGCACAGCCAGTAGCATGATGCTCAGAGGCAATTGTTCAACAATACTGGTACTGAGTATTATTCAACAATACTCAGTCAGTACTGGCTGGTCTCCGTTAGCTATAAGGCTCTAAGGCCGTGGCTGTGAGCAGAGACAATCAGATCAGGGTGCGGGGCCCTGCCTCTGGATGCAAGGAAGCCGGTGGCAGATTTGGCAGCGGGTTGGGGGAGGTGGTGGCGGCAAGTGGCCGGATGCACCGATTTCAGCGGTGGGAAACTGTGTGCAGAGCAGCCAGACGTGGAGCCAGTGGCAGCGCCGTGCCACTCCACCCTGCTCTGCAGGGCCCCCCAAAGCGCAGGGCCCAGGGCAGTCGCCGCCATTCACCACCCCCTAGGGACAGCCCTGGCTGTGAGTGACCTGGGAAAATTAATGCTGGCATAGAAAGGTGGTATGCTGACTTCCAGGCCAGGATACTTCCCTAAGCCACTGACCTCCAACCCACAGCTTGTGGGAAGAACTACAGGATATCAAGTTAAAATCCCCTCTCCTTGTCAGGAGACAGTGTGGAAGAACAATGTACCACACCAAAAATGGGAGCAGGAGGCCATCAGGACCTACCAGCCAGTACAGGGGAAATATATTCTGTTGCAGGTAGGAGTGAGCAAGTAAACAAACAAAAAAAAAGCAGAAACTGAGTTGATTTCTCAAAAGTCTATTCCTTGTACAGAATGAAGAGGGATTTAAGGTGCTGTGGGTGGAACAAGATACAATGGATAAAAAACCCACAGAAGAAAGAATTTCTGTGGCTGGGACAGGAGTGTGATTAAAACCATAGTCCTGTATATGGCTCTAGTATGATGCTGTCCACATTGCATGTTATTTTCTCAGTATTGTGGACTGGCCAGCAAAGGTCAGGAATCCCTGCCGTCAGCCAAAAAGCTTTGGATGCGAGAGCTCCTCTGAACTGCAGGATTTTGGATGTGCACGCACAGCATGCAAGTAGTGCTAGGAAGGCCAGGAGGATGTGGGGGAGGTGAAGAAAGGAGGGCTTATCTCCTGCACCGCTCATGTTAGTACCTGTCAGACCCCTCTGGGGTCAGTTGCTGCTGATCTTCATGAGACTGTAGTTTGGCTTCCCCCAGGGTGCTCCACTGAGGCAAGCTAAGGGTTCCCAGCAGCTTTGCTTTGGTGCCTTTGGCTTCTTCTAGGTCCTGGTGGGGTGGAGTGAAAGAGACTAACACATGTGCATGCATGCACACGTGCCTCTGAATTTGTGGGGCTAACATCTGAGAGAACAAATGCATCCAAGGATTGAGCGTGCCCAGTTGTTCAGCTCTGTCAAGCTCCCTGTGAGCATTGGTCAGTGCTCGATAATCCACAGAAAGAGAAAACTTCCCAAATTTGTGCATAGAATAAGAGAGCTCAGGAGTCTTGTCATTCAAGACTACTCCACTGTCATCACTAGACTACTTTTCTTCCCATGCTCTTGACTAGAGCACATTTCCCTCCACAGCAGGGACTGGGACCCAGTTCTGACCCCTGGATCACCTCCCACACACACCTGCCTCAACATCATTCTAATCTCTACCTTCCACTCTGACACAAATAGAGATCCCAATGGTCTCTGATGACCAGGAGACTTTGGGATTACATCTCCCCTAAAAAAAAAGGCATCAAGTACCTCCAGGAGCATTCTCTCTCCCATTACAGTGCTGGGGGACCAGGGTTAGCACCAGCTTTGGAGGGAACACACACCCTACTCTGTCCTGGCTCTACTCTTTACAGCCTGTCTACAAGTACCATATTGGGGCACAGGGTCAGCACCGATTGGAAAAAAGGAGAATATTCCCTACTGAGCTCTTTGTTAGTTGTTCAGGATGCAAATCATGGGGGCTTCTTGAAAGCATCTTGCCCAGTTCTCCATTTACTTTTGAGAGCTCTCTCTAATCTTTATCTATCCCAGCAGCCAGCCAGCAGGATGTCAGCCTAAGACACCATGTTCGCAGGTCATGGTGGCAATCTGTCCACTCAGTCACACATACTTAAGAGATCAGAAGGCTGGATCACTGCTTCTCGACCCACATAGGTCTTCCACACTCACCTGTTCCTCTGCTATGGCCATGGAATCTACTGGGTCCATCACTGTGCTCTTCTTGACAGGTGACAGGGCCAACACATGAGCTCCTGAGCTTTGCAGCATTCCACACAGTGGGCTGGGGAGGTAAGGTTCATCAGTCCCTGTCCGCTGCAGGAGAAGTGGCATAGAGAAGTAATTTATTTGTATGCAGTTTGGCACCAAGTCCCACAATCCTGAATCCCTTTCCTTAACAACCATTCTCCCTGGGGATCTGTGCTTCTAAACTTCAGGTCCTCAGGAATTACAAAGTAGTGAAGGCTGCAAATGCTAATTTTGCCTTTTCTCAAGTGCTTGGAGATCTATGGATTAAAGTCCCATGTGGAACAGATATTACTGGTTCTCATATGGACCCACAGGGCATTTTTTTACCATGGGAAAATGATTTTGAGTAGAATAGGGAGTTACCTAACATGGTTCTTTCATTAAATATTTTATATTGCATCTCCCAACACCACACTGAAGCACTCCAGGATTCCTAATGCATTAGGAAAATTGTGCCCTGTGCTTTGTGGTTCTCCTCATCTATGGAGAGAGACAATTATTTCTTCCCTGAGAGATTCTGAAATGTCTGTGTCTGAGCAGCAGGCAGAGCGAAATGCAGTGACAGTAGAATTGTAGCTAGTAAACTTTGTATGTGTATACCAAGGAGGTTTCAGGTAGATGCTTCCCTTACAGTCGTTCACCAGGGCTTAGCTTTGCACTTGGTGCTCAGAATCTCACTTAGGTCTTTAATTGATTGTAATAATAATCCCTAGGATAAGAGTGGTTTGTAAATGCTAATTGCTTAAGCCTAATGAGATGGGGAAGGGATAGATAGGATTGCTTTACTCACCAGTGAAATACAATCA